CACCAAAACACATCCAATTCTTGCGTTATGATGCACTAATTTACTTGGGAAAGTTTGCTAATCATGTTTAGACCCAAAACGCGTGTTAATTTGAGGTTTAATGGTTTTAACATGAAATTCAAATTCTGACTTGCAAGGAAACTTCAATTCCAAGTTACCATTTTTAAAACAATGGCATTCTCAGCTCAAGGGGTCTTAAGGCATGATTCCTGATGCTTTAGAAAGATGAGGTTACAAGCTTTGCAATGGAAAAATAATGGAGTTAAACGGATTCTTGAGCTGAAAGTTATATTGAGTCAAAGTTGGAGAAAAAGGGTTGACTTTCCATACTTAGAAATATTTCAAATTCTTCTTCAAAAATGACCTATAATCTTTTGCATCCAAACATGGCCTTCCACTTGGAATTTTCTCTTGACCAAAAAAGATGGAATGAAGTAGATCTCTTGAATGACATTTTGAAACTTGAATCATTCAAAATATCAAAAATTTGAGCAAGTTATGACTTGTTGAAGTCGTCAAAAAACCATGAAATGACCTATAATCTTTTGCATCTTTAAGGCAACTTCCATCCATTTTCCCACTTTGCACATAAAAGAAGGAATAAAGTTCACATCCTCAAGATCATTATGAAAAAATAATGGACTCAAGGTGATAAAAATTGACCAAGTTATGACCATTTGAAGTCACATATGGAAAATTGGGGACTCGTCTGGAGGACTTGTAATATTACTTCCTCATCAAGTCTCTTCCTCATGAAAACTCCTTGGAACATTTGAAGTGCTTTGTTAATAACCCTTTAAAGATACTGATGTGTTTGTAATCACTCAAAAATACCAAAAGGTGAGCAAGATGTACTCCCTTAAAGTTTAAAACCCTAGCTCCTAGATCAAGAAAATGCTTTAAGGAACTTTGACAAGCTTGAACAAACTTCTTGTACCAACTTTCTTTCTTTGTGAATAAAAGTTGTTGAGGATGATAATGAGGACTCATAGCCACCAAAACCACTTCCATATCTTGAAATTTGATATAAACATGCTCTTGTGACCAATATGAACAAGGCCTTGTCCAAACATTACAACTTCTCCAATCAACCCCTTGTACTTTTGAGTCAAATCTAATAACCTTGAAATGTGATGAACCAAAGAAACCTTGCCATGCCAATTCGTCCAAAACCAATCCAATGGTGAGGTTTGAACTTCTCAAGCTTTATTGACTAGGGAATGGAAATAAACTCATGAACCCATGGGGTAGCTTGTTAAATCTCATTGTCTTCACCTACATGGATAACAAGCAAGACAAACCAACATTGCATTTTATTAGTTAAATGAAGAAATCAAAACAATATTCAGGATCACAAAAGGAACATAAGTCAAGGTGCTTGGTAATACCTCAAAAAGGGCAAAACTAAATGTAGGGAGGGGAACCAAGAATCCTAGTGTGATCTTGTTGTGAGTGAATCAACATGGTATGATGAAGGGATCTTAGGGGCAAAAATTGGGGTACAACACCACTGTCTGTTCTGAGAATTTTCAACTTCTGCCCACTTTGTTTCTCAACCTTCACCTTGAACTTCTAGAACTTGGTAAACACCTCATGCTTAAAGTTGATGAGTGCTACCCACATGATTCTTGTGAACTAATCCAAAAAAGACAAAAAATACTTGTTTCCTCTAAGTGAAGGTTCTGGAAATGGTCCACACACATCAGAATGCACTACTCCCAAAGCATGCTTTTCTCTTGAGGCTACTTTTGATGTAAAAGGAAATATGGACTTATTTCCTTTCATGCATACCTCACACGAATTCTCAGGCTTTATAATATTCGAAATCCCATGCACAAGCTACTTATAAATTATACGCTCTAAGATTTTGTAGTTCAAATGCCCTAATCTCTTGTGCCACAACTTACTATCACATTCAACGCCTTCTACACTAAGGCACTTTGTGTCAGCTATCTCCACATTCACCTTGAATGTTCTGTTGCTTCCCTGTTCAGATTTAAAAATCAGCTTCTGATTGGAATCATACAACTTCAAAAGATTATTCTTCATAGAATCTGAGAAAACTTTCTCAATGAGATGACCTACACTCATCAGATTTCTCTTAATACCAGGAACATACCAAACATCCTTGATCAAAACAATCTTCCCATTCTTCTCTTTAACTTTGACATTTCCAATACCTTCTGCATTAAGGTACTTATCATCAACACATTGTTTATTTCCAGTCAAGTGATTTGATCATCTAGTTTTCATATACCACCAGTCTACCAAACACCTTCCATAAGAATCAGAAGCCATTAATAACATAGGTTCATCATCAAAATCTCCTCTGGCTATATTTTCTTATTCTGATTTCATTCCCTTGTTTGAAAACCAATCTTTAGAAAAGTGGCAAAACTGCTTGCAACAGTAACATTGAACCTTCTTGTTGTCATACTTCTCCCTTCCCTTTTGATAATTCTTCTCATAAGAAGTGGATGCTTCAGACTTCTGAGACTTACCATGTTTTTTGAGCTTTTGGTCCTTCTTGATAAAAGAAGCTTTCAGATCCTGCTTAACCTCCCTCTCCGACGTTCTTTCAGTGAGACGCACCTCTTGTTCCTCTAGACTACTTTGCAACTCTTCTATTCACATGGTGTCCATATCTTTAGCATGTTCAATTTCTACAAGAATGTAATCAAATCGAGGGGTAAGAGACCTCAATATCTTCTCAATAATTACTTGTTCGGAAATAGTTTCTCCACAAGCTTTCTTTTTATTACTGATCAGAATCACTCTGGAGATGTACTCAAATACCTTCTCATTAGCCTTTATGTTGAGATTCTCATACTACTTTCATAGAGATTGAAGCTTCACCTTCCCTGTATCTCTCTGTGCATTTATCTGTTCCTCTGTCACATCTGCTACAACCATAACATAACCATCATTGACAAGATACATAACATCTTGATCGCCAAACTATACACGCATCTGAATCATCCAGTGATTCCAGTTCTTTCCATCGAACACTGGAAGTTTGTTGCTCATACTACTGTTTTCGTTCATCTTTAACCTTGTGTAAGTCACTCAAATATCACTAAACATAATGTTTCCCAATCCATATAATCAATGTGATTCTGTTACAATTTTGTTCAGGATTCAACACGAGTTTAAGAAACTAAATAAATCACACAATGCCTCACTATTTCACTCGTGTTTCCATGTGGATCAAAACCAGAGCTCTAGATACCAATTGTTAGTGCACAAGGTGATGACAAACAAGAAGAATGAGAGAATATATTTATTACTTTGAAATTACGGCTACAAAAGTTATCAGAAATATTACATTCTGAATGACAACTAACACTAGTCTACTTATACACAAAGAAAATTTCCACGTAGACCCTAACTAAAGTGAAATTAATAGCTAAGTTAACAAAACAGGCTAAATTAAACTCTAGAAGCTAAACATGCTTATGGAACATAATAAACTACTGCGTCTAAGTAAGAAGTCTCAAAATCTTACAAATTCTGGATAACAACCTCAGAAGCTCTACTGCTTCTCACCAATAACATTAGAAGCTTCTGGTTTCAACGACAATATCTGGATATGAATTACTTCTAACAGAATATGCGTCTATCAAAATGAATTGTAGAAGGTTTATGAAAGTGGGATAATGGATTGCAAATAAGTTAATTGTTTGAAAACCAATTATATGGAGATTGTGGAGTTTTTGATTGGCTTATGAAGAGTTAAATGGAAGTATGTTGAAGATGATGGTGGGTGATTTTGTGCTCAGGTTTTTTCGGCCTCTTTTCTCTATGAATTCTCCTTTTTTATAGGGAAATTTTAGATATGAGCATTTAATTCTGATTTGATTCTTATTTATACTGATGAAGATTTTGTATTTGTTTGAGAAGATTGTGTTTCAATTTGAATGAAAGTTATATTTTTTTCAATTTGGTTTTGAAATAAATGGAGATTTGATTTTGTGTAAGTTTGGAAGGATTTTGTGAAGATTTGATCTTATTCAGCTCTTGTATTGATGATGATGATGGATAAAATCTCTTTTTTTTATTTTCTATTTTTTTGTGTCTAATAATAATAACATGATAAAAATAATAACAATAATAATAACTATAAAAATCTACCTAATATAAAGTAATAATAATAAAATTAATTCTTAATATGATAGTAATAATAATAATAAATTAAATTAAAATAAATCTAATAAAATAAAATCTAAAAAATGCCAATAATAAAATAATGTGACAAAAAAAGTAAAAAGGAGAAAAGTAACAAAATATAGGGAGGTTGGATTTGAACTCTGGACCTCAGACTTGCACCTCTTAACCACTCTATACCCGCTAGGCTAATGTAGCGTTCGAGATAAAATAGCGCTAAAAAATATGAAGGGTAGAGAAAATTTTGGGGTACAATAGTTGCCCCGAGTAAAACATCTTAAACCTGAAGGTATGAAGAGCAACATCTTTTAAACATTTGAGGTAGAAGAGGATAAAATACCAAAAGAACCATAAAATTTGCACTATGGGGAGAAAATAATGGGGTAGTGATGTTTTTCATGTAACTTTTTTATTATGATGATATCCCAGTAGGATTTCCACAGAGGATAAGAGAAATTTTGTTTCACATTTGCAAAAGGGAAATGGAAAGATGGAATGGGTGCTTAACCAAGCGTACTACAACTTAGTTGGGGAATAAGACTTCTCAAGCAAAAGGCTATGAGAACACCTTAGTAAAAGGCTAAGATGACTACCGGGGGTAGGGAATGATTTCTCATGCAAAAGGAATTTAGAAATCCTCTGCAAAAGGCTAGGAGAAAGATGGGAAGGAAACATGACTTCTCATGCGAAAGGAAATGAGAACTCTTTAGTAAACGGATAAAAAGAAAATTGTGGAAAATGTGACTTCTCATGAAAAAGGTGGTGAGAACTCCTTAGCAAAAGGCTAAGAAAAAAGTTGGATAAGAAAGATAATAATCTCCTGAGTAACGACTAGGATGACTACTGGATACAAAGGTATAATGAATTCTCATGCAAAAGGCAATGAGAAACCTCTTACCAAAGCGGTAAGAGGACAAGCTGGATATAGATATATGACTTCTCATGCAAAAGGCAGTGAGAAAATTCTCAAGAATAGGTTAAGAAGAAAGATGGATGGAGTATGTGACATTCCAGTGCAAAAGGCAAAGGGAACCTGCAAAAGGCAAGCAAAAGGATTGACAACTTATCATGTAAAAGGCAGAGAATACTTACAAAAGGTAAGCAAATGATGAAAAATTATGGAGATAATTTGTAAGCAAAAGCTATGAAAACTTGCAAAAGGTAAGCAAGATCTGCAAAAGGAAAGCGACAATCGAGGTTGGCCATACATCCTTTATGTAAAAAGCAACAAAGGGAACTTACAAAAGGTAAGCCAAAAGAAGATTCTTTTATGAATGAGAGTAACAATAAGACTCTAATGGGAAGTGAAACAAAACTTCGATTGGGCATAAAAAATGATACTCACAAGATTCCACTAGGAAAGCAAGAGGTACAGAAGTTTCCTTAAAACTCTGCTAGGGAATGTAGTAGAACTACCAAAAGATAAGACACTTGTTATGTAACCAATGGAAAAAGGTCAAAGAGAAAAGAGACACAATGGGGAGCATGCAAGAAACCTGCTAGGAGTATCAAAAGGATATCTGGAGGTTGTAATTATCAATGGATTATGATTTTGAGAAAGGCTTTAAAATTGGCTTATGTTTTGTATGTATGTTTGAATTTTTTGTGTGGCATAATGCTCCATATTAATAGAAATGCTACACATTTTGGTAGATGCAATATAATGACGATTACTATATTCAAGAATGCATGATTGGAAGCTCCATTTAGGAAAGGATTATGATGATATAATCTCTATGGGGAATAACAAACTGATTTTCGAATAACAATTGGGTTACAAACTCTGTTGGGAATCATGAATTGAACTGCTAAATCTGAGGGGAGATGCAAATGAACATAGGACTTTGACTTGCTGGAGATGCGAATAACCATTATACTTTTGAACAGTAAAGGATATCATTAGATTTCTACTTATGGGAAGAGAAAATCTACTTGGGGGATATTCCACCCTATACTCTGCTGAGGGATACTTCAACATCTCACGCTGCTTGAGATGAGAAATCTTCACAAGAAAACCCTCATAAGAAGACCTCTGATGGAGAATGATTATCTTCCTGGTGAAACAACCGACTTAAATTCATCAAACAATGAAGTCGCCATCGAACGTCTTTTATCCCATATGAAGTGAAAGGTAAACATCGAGAAAAGATGAGAAGGGAGAAGTCACGGTCTTGCGACCGAGAGATCGGGTAAGGGAGTCTGTTACGCGAGGGGAAGGTATTAGCATCCCACACGCCCGTAGTACTCTATGGTATCCACTCTTATTGTCTATCTTATGGGTGTGCTTTAATGCATGCAAAATAAAGGGGAAAAGAATGTAGGGAAAATAAAGTTGTACTCGCTTGGGCCCTACCCCAATGCCTACGTATCCTTTTTGAGGAATCAGAGCTACCGTAGTTCGGCTTACATGTTTTTGTTTGTTTTGTGTTTTTTATGGACGATGTTAATTCCGCCTTCTGCCGCAGCTCGACCTTTGGAGACTTATGCGTTGGCACAAAAGTAAAATAATCATGTCCTTGCCTGAAAAGGGTTTTTAGAGAAAAGGTGCTTGGGCGCACAAAAAGGTTCGAATTGGTTTGTATTTTTATTACCTTGAAAAAGGGTTTAAGTGGTATTAGCATGTTTTATGATTTGTTAAAAAGGAAGTTTTAGTTTTAAATGCATATGCAAAAGGGGAAGAAAAGAGTCTAAGGGAGACTAGCCTATTTCTAAACCTAATGTTATCATACAATGGTGGCCCTACATCAAGGATGAAAGGGAGATCTCTACCTAATGTTAGCATGCATGGTTTGTAACCTAAGGTCTAACTTGCATCCGAACGGAGCAAGCGTGTCCTAAGGGAACATGGTATGTACAAGGATAAAGCAAACAAGCTCGAAGAAGCACACACATAAAAGAGTAAGGAAAAGAAGAGAAATGATTTAGCCAAGGGGAGCGTATCACCCGAGACAAACAAGCGGGAGTGAGATGTAAAACAAAATATGATGTTCAAAGCGACTGAACACCTAACCAAGATATAGGAGATCGAGGTATGCGAGATAAGGCAATATGAACAATCAAGGAGTATCAGCATTGGCCAATGCGAACTCTTAACAAAGTGTGGGGGTTCGATTGGGGAACCCTTACCCACTTGACGACTCGAGACATAAGAGCTGGCACAACTCTAAAGCTTCGTGATGCGTCACGAGCTAAGGATGACACAGACGAAATGGGGGTTGATTGCTAACCCTCCCCGCTCGCCTCCTTTTGAGGTCTTCAATAAGGGATGGGGGAATAACGTAGGCACAAATATAAACACACCTGCAGAATACCTACACAAAGGTAGGGTTTTAAACAAACCACACACAAGTAGCAAACAAAATGCACACAATGCAGAATTTCCCTAACCGAGTCTTTAAATAAACCACAGGGGATCCTGACATGATCAGAAACAGAGAACCCCATCATACATCTCTATTCCTACTTCTCATGGCACCAGAAAGCAGTAAAGTCCTACTTCTCATGATATCTAGAAAAGCGGTAAAGAAATATAGTAAAGAGCAGAAACGAGGAATAAAATGAAGTTACGATGATACCGAATGGAGAAGGTTCGTTTCCTCTTCAAAACCACGCAAGCGATCAGAAAATTCTACCATAGCTGTTTCGCACAAGTTATCAAAAAATTAATCTCCAAGCATTCCCCATTGCGAAAGTTACACCAATATTCTATCACAAAATCTTAGCTAAAAATGATAATGAAAACGATTGTTAAACATAAAAATAATAGAAAATTCTAATAAAATTCTAAAGAGAACCTAAAAAATTATAAAATATTCTACTATTTTTTATTGTTTTTATCATAACAAAAATATAAAAAAACTAAAAAGTTCCTAAATCTTTAATATGAAAATGTGAGCTTAGGGGGGCGAAAACTGAAGTCAAGACGTGTGCTAAAGTAAGGTGTTAGGCCCATCTGCAGAAGTGATCCATGAAGATCTTTTTGTTGCATGCTTTCAAACTGCAAAAAATAAGGTACATGCCCAAACAAAGTCCAATAATAACTGCCAAATTTTGTTTGCTTCATTCTATCTAAACAAAAACACATGAACTCAATGGGCCTCGGTTCAATTTTCAGCGACACAAGCCCATCAAATATTTCAGCAATAATTTGTTAATATTGAATAAAAAAACTTAAGAACAATTAAAAAAATTATGAAACGATGCGTTTGGAAAGGGATAGGGTTTCAGCTTGTGGCTATTCAACTTCCTCAATTCTCTTCTTCTATCGCTTCAACTCTCAGCACCACGGTGTCATCACCAACGATCTGATTTGAGTCTGCAGTTCAACCTCCTCCAATTCGATTTTTCGGTTCAATCTCATCTGCCTCGACATCGTCTCAGCGATCTTCCGTCTCGTCTCCGCCGTTCCTATTCTATACATCGGCTTTCAACTCATCCTTCAGATTGCTTCGATCTCCATCTCACGCTCTCTGCTTGGTTTCCAATATTTCTCCGATGCACCAACAACATCTCAGCAGAGAACTTCGGTTGTTCTTCAAGCTTTGATGAAATTGAAGAGAAAACCGGAGAAAAACGATTAGGTATGCGTATGTTTTACATTCTTCATTCTACTTCTTCTCTTTCTATCTGCACTTTTTGAGTTGTGTAGATGCGATTTTGGTTGCTTGAATTAGGTGAAGATTGAAGGTGTCGATTTGTTGTTGAGGATGGTACTTCTTTACGGCTTGAAGCGGTTCCGAGAGGATGAAGATGAAGAAGATTAATTATGCAGAAATGATAAAGCAATAAAGAGGATGAATGATGTGTCGTAGATTGATGCACAGAAGATGGTTGAAGGTTGGTTCAGAGGTTGACGATGACTGAGGAAGGTTGAAGATGTGATGGGAAAAAAATGGAGCGTGAATACAGAGAGAGTTGAGAGATATTTTTCTGGAGTTTCTTGGTTGTGATTCTTCTGCAGACGTGAAAAATGAAGGTGAGAGGAGCAGAGAGAAGGTTGAAGATTACAAAGAGAGTCTTGTGGTGATTTTTTGTGATTCTTCCCTGAAAGTGAAGAATGATGAAGATGAAGATGAGAGGAGAAGAGAGATTTTGTTGAAGATTGTGGTGATTATCCCAAGAGAATGGATAATGGTGAATAATCTGGTGATTTTTTTGTTATAAAATCCTCGTGCATCTTCTCTCCTCTTCCTTTATATTATTCTGTTTTTTTTCCTTCTGTCAGTTGGATGTTTTTTACAACTTGTTTTTGACAGTTAGAAATTGGTTAAGGGTAGTTACAGTTGGTTAGGGGCTTATAATTCTGTTTTGACTATAGGTTAGTTGGTTAGGAATTTGTTATGAATTGGTTATAAAAAAGAAACTGTCATGAATTCTGTTATCTTGCTTTTTGTGTTAAACAGTTAGAAGGTTGTGGACAGGTTTTGGGTTCTGTTATAAAGAATGGTAGAGCTTAGCTATTTTATGTTTTTGATAGTTAAGAAGTTAGGAAATTGAAGTTATTTAGTTTCGATGATTCTTTTATTTCTCTTTGCAGGGCTGTTTGTTGGTAAGGTTAGAAGTTAGTTGGGGATGCAGAGTAGTTAGTTACATGTTAGTTGGCGTTTCGATTATGCTGGAATTTTTTGGTTAGGAATTTGTTTTGGACTGCTGTAACTGTTAGGGAATGGTAGTTAGTTAGGAAACTGGAGGGAGTTCTGTTAATTCTTTCTGAGCTGTTTTGGACTGCATCCGATCCTGGCTTGAGTTTGCATTGATAGGATAATTAATAGTTGAGTTGCAATATGTATGTATTCAGGCTCTTTTTTAGAAAATTTGCACCGTTACTTGATTTTCTGTTTTCGAATTTTGAATGTGCCATGTATTGAATTCCCATGTTTGAGTTTAACTTCCTGTATGTGAATAAACATGGTGATTTAGCCTTGATCTTGCTCGAATGCTTGAGAATGTCTTAAACCTTGTTGCATAACTGAACTGTATTTGATCGTATTTGCTGAGAATTCAAATTGCCATATTGCTTTCATGTTGTTTTGGATGATATATGTTTGAATGTTTGGAATGCCGCTTATGCTAAAACTTACATGGTATGCTTGGTTTTATGCAGATTCAGTTGTGATTTTCAAGCATGTAATTGGATGTTAGCGAGGAAGATAATGGCATGGTTGAGTAGTCTTTTGGCTCATTTCAGAACTTGAAGAGAATTAAATTATAGCAGACAAAAAATAGTTTGAAACATGGAGGCTTATCATGGAAGACTTTGAAGTATGAAGAGATAAGCTTTAGGATAGATATAAGAACTTATTTTTTGTAATTATTTTTGAGTTGTAATGTTTGTGACATGAGGTTACCTTGTAATGGTAATGGTTTATGTAAAGGCAGTGGTATAAACTTGCAATGTTCAAGTGAATGAAAACAGTGATTTGTAACTTGTACTTCGAACAAAATTGAATAAGAACCTTGGATGAAAGTTTGATGAATGACATATTTTCTTAGTGATCTTGAATGGAATTGAATGACCATGAATGAATTTTGTTAGAGCTTACATAAGATTTGATCTGACCTGATCAGAAGGTTTGGACCGTCACGGCTTGCTCCGAGCTGAAGGCTTTTTGAACGAGGAGGGGGGGTACCTGCGAGGCACTCCGATGCTAAAGTCAGTGGGAGTACGAGCAGATAATAGAGTTGAGGTTAGAATGAATGAATACCTGACCCTCTGGAAACAGAGGGTATTTATAGCCCCCAGCGCTGGGCCAAGGTTCCTTCATTGGGCCGGGCGGATTTGGCCCAATGGAGGAACTGCCAGGTTCTACGTGGGTAGTGGAGACCAGCACGTGGTCCCCTTCCTGGATGTGCTGCGTGAAGTGCGGGCGGACAGAGACGCGGTCTTTCCGGAGTATCGTTGGGGTAACGGTGGACTGAGTCTGCCCTAGCCAGGTGGCTCGAGATCATGTCGAGCTGCACTGCACGGTGCCGAGCTCGACGCCAAGACCTCGAGCTGAACAGCGAGTGTCGAGCTGGACGTCAGGGCACAGAGTCGGACGGCAGGGTGTCGAGCATGACTTCACTGCGTGGGGCTGGACATTGAGATGTCGAGGTGGACATCAGGGTGTCGGGCATGGACGCGACCCCCCTTGGCCCAGTGTGGTCCTCAGTGAGTCCCTTTGGACTGGGCCTTAGTAATGCTTTTGGGCCTGTCGGGCCCAGTCCAGAACAGGAGCCCCCCAAGTCGTGGTTCCTTTGCGAGGAGCCATGACTTGAAACAGTCGTTTCGTCGCTGAGGTCTCGTGCCCGGGATGGAGGCGTGGACCCTCGAGGGGTCTCCTCGTGCCGTGCTCGGAGACGTCCTCGGTGGTGGATGCGTGGAGGATCCGTACCGGGCGCGTCAGTCGAGCACACGAGGCATCTTTCGGGAGTTGTGCCGCCACCCTAGGGGGGTAGGGCCATCATTGCGTTGGGGGCAGTGCGTCGAGGAGATGGAGTCCGTGGCTGAACGAGGTGACGTTTGGTATTCCACGTCATCACTATAAATAGGGTCCTTGGGCCCCATAATACGTTTTCCGTTCTCCGTGCTCTCTCCGTTGCCGCTCTCAACACTCTCTCCAGTTGTGACTTCCCGTCTCAGATTCTTCATTTCTTAGCCAAATCCCAACTTTGATCCAAGTAAGTGATCTACTTTCTTCATTTTTCCGTTTTAGAATGCATGATTCCTGGAATTTGTAGATGTTTTAGGATCGTGCGCGTGGGATTAGCCCGGTAGATTCGTGTTTTGCCCGACATATTCATGTCTAGGATCGGCAAACGCATACAAATGGCCGACACATTCATAGTTTTAGGTGAAAAACTTCAGAGCTGCCCGGGGTCTTCATGATCCGGGCGCCTAATTCATGACCGTGCCCGGTATGTTCATGGTCGCGGCCGTGGGCTTCATAGTGCGGCTCGCCATGTTCATACCTCGGGTCGACATGTTTGAAGAATGGCCGCGCAGTTGGTTTGAGGAAGAACACTGGGTTCAGGAGAGTCGGGGAGGCATCCACTTGTGAAAATGGACTTGTGTAGTAGTGTATGGACGACATGATTATGTCGAGCATAGGACTTCATGCTCAATCTGATTGGTTTCCCGTGCTCTGCAGGTAACCATGGCGGATGAGCCGAGCTCCTCCGGTCGTCGTGATAGCGAAGAACAGAGTGCCGACGAGTCGGCCAACCTTATAGATACCGTGACCGACCCATCGCTGGAATGGGTGGGCGCCGAGCCTCGGGGGACGGCGTCGATATACAGTCGGGATGACCGACATCCATTCACCGCTATCGAAGAGGGGCAGGACCAGCCCGACTTCCAGCAGAATTTCGTGGTCATGCTGCCGTCGACCAACGCAAGAATTTGTTCAATGTACCCGGACTACAGCTTTGCGTTGTACGAGATCGCGTTTAAAGACTTGGGGCTGCGGCTGCCGTTCACAGATTTTCAGACCGGGGTCTTTACGCATTTGGAGCTGGCCCCGTCCCAGCTACACCCAAACTCTCTCGCCTTCATCCGGGCGTTTGAGCTGACGTGTCGCTACTTAAGGATAGGGGCGACCATCCCTCTCTTCTTTCGGGTATTCCACCTGCAGCGTCAGTCCCGAGGAGGGAAGCACAGCTGGGTGTCCCTGAAGCAGTCGAGGAGACTGTTTAGGATGTACATGGACTCTGTGAGGGGGTTCAAGGATAAGTGGTATGTGGTACGCCCTACTACCGACTCTGCTGTAGATTCCCTCTTCGAGGAGGAAGGGCCGGTCAGCGATGATGACGGGGAAGCAATGTTGGCCGACGACGGGAGCCCCGTGTTAGGTCGTCGGGCTAAGTTCCCGGTGTACTGGATGTCCCGACACTACGAGCATGGAACAGGTTATTTCCATACCGCAGTCGGGGATATGTGCACGGAGGACCAGCGGGCGTACGAGGCTCTTTGCCGGTTCGTCGACAGTTTTCATCCCGCCCAGTGGGTTACACGGGAAGGGAATGATGTCCTCGACAAGGACGGTTACCCGACATTCGAGGCTCGCCCAATCGACACCAAGGCGCTGGTGGAATGTTCGACATATAGGCAGGCAGCCCGCCTGTTAGGTTGTTTGCTTGAAATTCTTTTATGCGTCGTTTATTTACGCGGTTTGCTCGATACTGACTTTTCCTTTACTTCGTGCAGGTACGATGGCCAGCCGACATGAAAGGCTCCTAAAATTGTCAACCGGCCAGAGGCGAGGCAAGAGGGTCGTGCAGGCCCCGCAGACGACGAGAATGGGACCACCACCAAGTCTGAACGTTCCTCAGACGGTGAGGGTGGATTCGACGTCGAGCTCGGGAGCAGCGTCAGATCCAGAGGTCGAGGAGATTGACGCCAGCGCCGTTTTGACGCAGAGGAAGAGGACCCGCGTGGAAGGCGGTTCGACTGTCGGGGAAGATGCCAGTGCTGTTCAATCCTTTGCCTTCCCCCCTTGCTTCGAGGAGGCGGGCTTTTTCGAGCGGTTCCCTCCGACAGTGGTCGCTCATGAAGCCGAGGCCATAAAGAAGATGAGCAAAGAAGAGAGGAAAGCCTATCTGGCCGCCAGCGTGGACGGGCTGATGAAAATGGCCGAAATGGCTTTGGTGTTGTCTGAAGATGCAGGGGATGCTGCTCGTGTTAAAGAGCTCGAGCAGGAGAAGGCGGCCTTGAGTGCGAGCTCGCGGAAGTTGAAGGTCGCTCTGGAACGCTCCGAGGAGATGTTCCGAGAGCAGACCGCGATACTTGATGCTGAGAGGGATATGCTGACTCTGGAAAAGGAGAAGTCGGGGAGGTTGACTGAGGAAGGGGAGTTGCTCCGGACCGACAGGGATCGCTTGGCTGCTGAAGTCGAACGCCTGGGTAAACAGGTTGAAGAACTGAATGCCGTTCAGCAACCTGCCGAAGATGAGCCCGAGGACCTAGTGATTTTGAAGAGTCGGGCTGAGCTTATTGCCCATATCCGGCTCCTCGAGGCGGACGCAGTCGGTGCTCTGGAAGACGGGTTCAATTCTGCAGTCGACCAACTCTCATTGCTAAATCCCGGCCTGGTCACCGAGGGCATCGGGCACACCCACCGGGTTGTAGGTGGCGCGATCATTCCTCCGCCCGACTCTCCCAGCGTCGACAATGATGATAATGTGGAAGTTTGATATTTGTATTCTTTGGATAGCGGGCCTGCGTGCCCTTGATATTTGAATTTGTATTCTTTGGGCCTGCGTGCCCGTTCATTGTATGTTTTGAACACCGCCGGCCTTCTTGGTCGGGTTAATATTGCTTTGTTGCCTTCGGGCGTTTATACCTTGTTATTTATTTTGGATTTTTTGCCCTTGTATGCACTCACATGCTTGTATGAATTTAGCTCAAGTCCCGGGCCCGAGGAGTGCCCGTAGGTGGCTTTGATTTGGCGAGCGAATATGCTCGTCTCCATTTGTGTGC